CCATCCAGTAGCTGCTGAATGTGAATCCAGAACAACTACAGGTCAGTCTGTGACTCTACAGGCCTTTTAATCACTGATTTAGATTGTGTCAGAGTCTGACCATTAACTCCTGTCAAAGCAAAACAAAACAAACAAATAAAAGGACAAAAAGAAGAAGATGAAGAAAATAATCTCTAATCAAGTTTTGATTACAAATTTGACAAAACATTAGAGAAACTCTTCACCTGCCCAGATTATGATAGAAAGCAGCAGCCCTGTTCTTGCATCCATTACATCAAGCTGTGTGACGATTCCACTCTGTCATCCTCACTGCAGTCATACTATATAAATAGTTATAACACATTCAAGTTTTGCACTGACTTTGCACCTTGACATGTAACACCTTTTTTTAAGATCGACCCCTGGGGTCTCCAGTGCATAACCAATCAAAACCCCTGATTCATTATTGTTATCACATCTGATATACAGACAGCATGATATCTGCATTTTTATTAGATCTTTGTTTCACAAATAGCATTTTTTTGATTACTAAAATGTTTTTGTGTTATAATCAAAATATACTTTATTGTCACTATGTTGAGTATTACAACTACCTTTAGTGGTGAAGTATATGTGTGTACAAACATGATGTTGATGGGGAAATGTGTTACTGATGTGACAACAGCATCAACACAATTAAAAAAATGCAATACTGTCAAGCACTGCATTTGAGTTTTCAATAAAAACATGTTATTTTTTTTCAAATGTATAATTTTTCAATGTATAATTGAAAAATTATACACAGATAGTGTGTGACAAGGCATGTCACACACTCTCTGTGTTAGCTGTGAAAGTTGTTCTTCTCTTAAAAGCAAATATAAACATACATCTTCAGAAGAGTTTTACTTGAAGCAAATGTTCTCAGTCTTGTATCACAAGTACTTGATGGCACTGCTAATTACACCAAAGAATGTACCATGTGTAGTGTGACTTGAGTGTACTATGCAATAGCTCATAGTTCATGTGTTACATCTTAAAAAGATGAACATCCTGTGTGACAATTGTTCAGGTGACAGATGGACAGAGATACTACAGGTACATCCAAAGTAACTAAAAAGAATCAAGCTGCTAATATCAGCAGCAGCAGAGTTGCACTTAGTTTGCGTAGAGAAGAAGCATGAAGAGGAAGAAAGTGAAGCACATGGAAAGAAGACAAACCACAAACGGGACAAAGCTTCAAAAGAATAAAAAAGAATGCATTGACATGGATGGTATATACAAATTTTTTTTCAAAGAAGAACAGACAGTTAAAAAAAACTGTAACCATTAAAAAAAGAAAAACCAAAGACCTGAAATATGACAAAAAATATTTTCAGTTGTAACCATTTTTAAATACATTTTGAACCAAAAATAATAAAAGGTGCACATTAAAATCAATTAAGCATAAGATAAAATATAACAGGATTGGCTAAAACACTGTCAAAATAATGTTAAGGTAAAATTTATTTTAACATGTATGTATGGTCTGCACCAAGCTAGGGTGGACTACTGAATGATATTGTACAGCTGCTAGAACAACCCCAGTCAGCGTGCCTCTCGAGCACAATAATAAACAGCAGAATCTTCAGTCTTCAGACTGTTCATCTGCAGATACAGCTGCTCTCTGCTGTTGTCTCTGGAGATGATAAACCGACCTTGAACTGACTGAGAGTACCAAGTGCTGCCCCCACTGCTGCTAATTCTTGCGATCCACTCCAGTCCTTTTCCAGGAGCCTGTCTGACCCAGGCCATGTAGTAGCTGCTGAATGTGAATCCAGAGGCTGTACAGGTCAGTCTGTGAGATTCTCCAGGCCTTTTAACTGCTGGATCGGACTCAGTCAGAGTCTGACCATCAACACCTGTGAAAACACAAAAGAAAATAAATAATATACCATATCTTAACCAAGTTTTCTAAAACAGATGTCAGTTGATGTTTTCACCTGCCAGGCAGACAGTTAAAAGCAGCAGCCCTGTCCTGTAATACATTATGTAAGTTGTTTGTCATCTGTCCACTCTCATCCACTTTTCAGTCTCATAAGTAGAGGTAGAAGATTTGAGTTTTGCATTTGATTTTTGACTCCTCCTCACAAACTTGGTTGATTTTCTGCCTTTGGGAAAGATGAACCAGAGCCTCCGGGCTCGGTCCGCTAGACCGCTTAATAACATCATCCACCAACTTCATTCCCCCCTCTGCCCGCTGCTGTAATACACTCTCTCATACAAGTTACAATCATATCTTTAATTGTCTATGAAACTGCAACATTTGCACCACATACTTGCTGCTGTTGGTCACTGCACTACTGTCAATGTATAACGCACGAGATGCTCTCTTTTTATTTAATTGGATTTCTATCTTGCACGACTGCACTATGTACATAGGTTTGACTTTCATATATTTCCCTGCGGTGTCCTTTATCTTTCTTAATTCTTCCTAAGAATAATGTGAGAGAGAAACAGTATTTCAATTCTCCCCTATGTGCTGTACATGTAGCAAATTAAAAATATAATATTTTGAATACTGAATGTTGAATTAGATGAGTTATGCTTGGGACACAATTATTAGCTTTAATAGTCAAAATTGAAATTAGGATAATGAGACAATATTGAAACAAAACTGTATTTAAATGCTGAACTGTTTGCAACACCAGGAAACTGTCTGTATATTTAAGAGAAGTTCACTCTTATATTGACAAGACTTTTCTTCCGACCTTTTTCCTACTGATAAATCTTTTACTTACTTGTAAAGTTTTAAATAATACGGCGCCTAGTTATTTAAACAAACTCCTCAACATGTATGACCCCAAAAGAGCACTGAGATCATCTATAGCCAGATGCTCTTAGCACAGCCAAGGTCTCAGTTGAAGTATAGAGGAGATCTGAAATAATCTGCCAGAGGAGATTCATACTTCAGTCTATTCAGTCTTTTAATTCTCATCTTAAAACTCATTATTTACTTTGACTTTTAATTCGAGTTCAGTATGAGTACCATCAGACCTGTTTTATGTTTTTGTTGTTAATTCACTTTCTTCTGATTTACCTGCATTTGTTTCTAATTTATCTATATTTGTTTCTCTATTGTTTTCTCTTGTTTTTAGCCGATTGTGAAGCACTTTGGTTGTATCTGTTGTTTTTAAATGTGCTATACAAATACATTTTGAATTTGAAATCTTTCTGAAATGTATTACTGATGTGGCATAAAATGTTGTCGTTAAAGACGTTCACACTAAAACAGAGTCTTTTAAAAGATTGTGTTAGAGTGTTTAAGATTTGGGACAAATTACTGTTTGTACTTCTGCATGAAGCAAAAATCATAGACCTTCGTTGGGCGGATTCAGTCTGATGAGAAAAAAAGTTATTCTGTCACTATTCACTGAGTTATACTGTTGCTTAAAGGTCCTTACAATATAGGACTCCGAGGCTTTTGGTGATCACCCTGTGACATGAACTGAACGCATTAAAGAAGTACAGGCAGACTTTAAAAATAATTTTGTGGGTGAAAATAAGGGGTGGCACTCTTTGTGGTAAATAAATATATATTTGTGACAGTGACACTAATGATAATCAAAGGTTCTCATGAAATTCCACATGAAATGAATGTGGACGCTCTGAGTGGTGATGAACTACCCCAAACCACAATTTTGTAAAATATATAAAAGGTAAGTTAAAAATGTCAGGGACACGATATCAAAAACATGTTTTTTGAGAAATAGCTGGAACATGAAATGATAACAACTTTATATTTATCAGATATTGCAAGAAACCAACCTCACTGGGTCATTTTTAACCTGTTTATGCATCTAAGGGTTTCTTTTAGATCACTTTATACCTACATCGCTAGTTGTGACCTGAGGTCCTCACCCAAGGCTCTTCTGGTCATCCCACAATCATGACTGAGAACCAAGGGTGATCTGTTTTTAGTTTTTTCTTTTTCTCTCAGGACACCAACTCTTTGGAATATTCTCCCCGAAGAGATCAGTTAGCTCACGTTCATCTTTTGAATCCCTGTTAAAGACATATTTTTATAAGCAGGTTTTCCTGTGACTGCATTTAATTATTTCTATGTTATTATTTCTGTTTCTATGTCAGCCTACATAACTGTTTAACCACTGTATCTCAATAATTTTTATTATTTATTTGTTTGCTTTTAATTTATCTTTTTTCCTTCTCTATTCTCTACTATTCCTGTTTTTCTCTTTGTGCAGCCAGTATTCCCATACCTAATGCTGTTTTAATTGTGTTTCCTCTTAAATACAGTAGGAATGTCTCTGTAACTCTCCTGGGGGGTGAACAACATACTATCAAAACACATTCCCAAATTTAGTGTCTTGTGTTTATCTTATCAATGTCAGGACTGATGTGGAGCAACAACAAAGTGGAAAGTATCTAAAATTATAATATCTCATTGGCATTACTATATTAAGTAAGGGGTGATTATTTTAAAAGGATTGAAGCAAAGATCTAATGTAGCAGAAATGGTGTGAAACAGAACCTGTGGCTAGTCATGGTAAAGATGAAGCAGATGGAGACTTGAATAAGGCTCTTTGTATGAGTTTAAGATGTGGAGGCAAAGAGTCACAAAAAAGGCAGAATGACAGAATACATTGAGTTTAAAGTAAAATTAATGAAGACATATTGACATGCAAAGGGCAATGAAGAAAATTAATGGACCAGAGTAATGGCAATATAATTGAGTTTGACTGAGAGGGCAAACCTGCAGTGATGGCAAGAAGTGACTACTAGCCCAGACACCTGGGAATGCAGGCCAGAAAGTAAACAGAGATCTTTGTTGTGAGGTGAATAGAAACATTATTTTTATGCAAAATGTTTAATATTAGTATTACTATTTCTACATTATTATTTCAACCCACATTTTTCCATTCAGACTGCCTCTCTCTTTAAAAGTGGTCTGAGGGCGCCTCCTCTGGTGGATTTACACGTTGAGGCTCTGACAGGTTTTTGTACAGAGCTGCTGGTTGTTTGTGTTACTGTGAGTTTCTGGCACAGTAATACACAGCTGTGTCATCAGGCTGCAGATTCTGTCCAGTTAAAGTCACTGTTTTACTGGAAGAGTCTGTGGAAATACTGAACTTGCTTTTAAGTGAATCTTTGTAGTATGTTGTAGATCCAGTTGCTGCCATCCCAATCCACTCCAGTCCTTTTCCTGCAGGCTTTCTGATCCAAGCTGTGTAGTAGCCAGTAACAGAATAAGAGACCTGACAGGTGATGGTCAGACGTTGACCTGGCTGCACAGTCTCTGAGGCTGGCTGTGTCAGCTGTTCACACTTCACACCTGTTAAAAAAGAAATTTTTTTGTGAGAAATTACAGGTTATATCATAAAACAGATACTGTTGAATGTTATCAAAAGAGACTCACATGAAGTTGCTAAGAGCAGTAAGAGAGCTGCAAAAAACATGTTTTTTGATGAACGTGTCATGATGTGAACTCAACACCACATTCTGATGTAAAGCTTTTATAGCTGAGTAACAGAGGAAGTCAGCGAGTTTGCATATAAATGCATAAACATTACATAGTAACTCTTTAATTTGCCTTTTATTTCCTTTTGCTTTTCTTCACTGGGCAGCCAGTATTCCATATCTATTGTTTCAAATATAATGTCTCTTGAATACAATATTGATGTCTGTGGATCTTTGATGTAGGGGTGAAAACCGTAAAAACACCATCAAAACATATTGAATTTATCTTTTTAGCATTAATGTTGATGTCTTCTTTTTAGAAACAACAAAGTGTGAAGTAGATAAGTCGTGGTATCTCATTGGCATTACTGTATTAATTAAGGAGAGATTATTTGAAAGGAATGAAGCAAAGAGCTAATGTAGCAGAGCTGAGGCCCAAGAGTCAAAGAAAGTAAAACAGAATCTGCGAAGTCTATATGCTAATGATAGTGAAGGTATGAAGACTTGAATAAGGCTCTTTGAATGACCAGGATGAGTTTAAGATCGGGAGAGAAAGGGTCACAGAAACTAGACTCCGTGAAGAGAGAATGACAGAATATACTGAGATTTAAAGTAAAGTAAATGACAGCAGAGTTTCAGTTTGACTGACTGGGAAACCTTAAGTGAAATAAATAAGCAGCCTAAACAATCAGGAATGCAGACCAGAAGATCTAATTTACATTTGACTGAAGCTCTGTAAATGAACTTTCTTTGTAAAATGTGTCATAATAAGACTGCCTCTTCCTTCAAGTTTAAGTGGTCTAAGGACTCCTCTACTGGTGAATTTAACGATTGGGTCTCTCAGGGGTTTATGTACAGGTCGGCTGATTGTTTGTGTTACTGTGAGTCTCTGGCACAGTAATACACAGCTGTGTCGTCAGGCTGCAGATTCTGTCCAGTTAATGTCACTGTTTTGCTGGAAGAGTCTGTGGAAATACTGAACTTGCTTTTAAGTGAATCTTTGTACTCTGTGGAAGATCCAAGTGCCATTCCAATCCACTCCAGTCCTTTCCCTGCAGGCTGTCTGATCCAAGCTGTCCAATAGCCAGAATAAGAGACCTGACAGGTGATGGTCAGACTTTGACCTGGCTGCACGATCACAGAGGCTGGCTGGTTCAACTGTTCACACTTCAAACCTGTTAATGAAGGCAATATTTTGTGATAAACTGCAGGTTATATTACAAAGCAATGTTCAATGTTACCCAACTTAAGAGACTCACATGAAGTGGCTAAGAACAGTAAGAGAGCAACAGAAAACATGCTTTTTGATGAACGGGGCATAGTGTGAACCTCACGCCACAGTCTGCCACAGCTTTTATAGCTGAGTAACAGAAGAAGTCAATAAGTTTGCATATGAATGCATAAAGCGTTCAAGAGGATCTAACTGGTGGCCGTTTCAGAAACTGCCACCTAAGTACAAATTTAAAAAAAAAACTTACTCACATGTAAGACATGAATAAAAAAAAAAAAGCTGACTTCTGTTCACTGTTGGTTACATTGAGTTACATTTAAATTATAAGTCAAACAATGAGGTAAAAAGGACTGCTACTGTCACTTCTGTTAATGGTATATTATATTGCATTAAAGAGACATGGTATTCAGCTAATTGTCTGATTATTAAATTATTATTATAATATACTTGCTGTACTACATCTAATCGCTGCACAAATAAATGTAAAATTGTGACTCAATTAGTTTATACTCTGCTTCATTTTTTTATAAAGACTCAATTCTTTGTGGGAAGTATAAGTAAGGATGTAAAAAGTAAATATTGCATGTTTAAAATCAACTTTTAAATGAGTCCAGGGTCAGTGCCATTTAATCAAGATCAGTGTTTATCTTTAAGTGTCATTATAGTGACTTAATAGAAACAAGGATGAAACAGTCTGTGTGACATATTTGACATTTTACATAGATAATGCTGTAACTGCCGTTTGTTTCTGCTATTTCATACCTATAGAGAAACATTTTAGAAATAGACTCCTGTAACATCTTTAATTGTATTAGTAAGATGATGATATTGTTAGATGATGTGTGAGATAGGGTGACGTGTCAAATTGTGCACGGGCCTCTCTCAGAAGAGAATAAATACTAATTGATTTCTTTTGAGACTTTTAATTGATTAATTTATTATGTACTCAGGTTGGAATTCAAACATTATTTGTTTTTGAATGCATGGTTGTTTTAAATAGCGTGCATACCTGTTTTATGTCTACAAGCAGTGGTAAATGGACTGGTTCTTATTTAGCACTTTTCTACCCTACTTGAACACTCAAAGCACTGTAGACGCCCTGTCTCATGCACTCTCCTTTTTTCAGTGCATAAGACCTTTGTACCTAATATTTACACTCCAATGAACACACCAGGAACAACTCAGGTTTCAGTATCTTTATTTTCCTTTTTACAATATGTATGAAAGTTCTCTTTCAGCAGGAGAATCCAGAAATCATCAGGATTATATTGCTACATGATATTAGTATATGGTGAGGTTTTTGTGCAGCTGCTCCAGTGTCTTACATCATTGTGCTTTGTCGAGCACAAAAGTAAACAGCAGAATCTTCTGCTGTCAAGCTGTTGATGTCAAGGTACTGTCTTCTGCTGGAGTCTTCTTCAGTCATGATGAAACGATGTTGAAAAGAACTGCCATAGCTAGGAGAATTATAGCCTGTGCTCATATACCCAATCCATTCCAGAGCTCTTCCTGGTCTCTGTCGTATCCAGTGAATATCATTTACTGTCAGGGTATAACCAGAAAGGGCACATGACATTTTCACTCTCTCTCCAAATCCTTTCACCTCAGAGGGAGACTGTTCCAGTTTGATCTCACTCCAAACTCCTGTGAGCAAAATAATCAAAAACAGAATAAAACAACATGATCATCATGAATCAGACTTTTTCACCATTTTAAAGAATGAATCTCTTTCTTACCTTTGAGACAAACAATAAAGAATAAATTCAAGTAAATGATATATTCGATAATTTTTAAAACTTTATAATCAAAATGTGTAATTGGTAAAAATGTTCTTAAGATTTTCTCTCATGAATTAAATGAGAATTGGCAACAACGTTTTTATAAGGAAGCAAAACTTTGCATAGACCCCCCTCTACAGGAGGAATTTGGTATTCAAAAACTGAGTTACACAACTTCTTACTGCTAGCTATTTGGACACTACGCACAAATTAACAGACTCTATAACATGGCAAACATAGATACAGTCACCATAGAGTACCTATTTTGGATTGTGGCAGGAAGCCAAAATACCTGGAGAGAGCTCACACAAGCACAGCAACAACATGAAAACTCGACACAGAAATGCTCCAGTCAGCTGATGTATTCAAACAGTCTTGCTAACAGCTCAGTAGCAGAGACTTGGTCAGTTAACTGGTCTTGGGAGTTGTGTTTCTGGGTTTTCCAATAGTCTGTTTATGGCTGTGACCTGTCGTTAGGCTAAATGTTTGGAATGTGGATTATATGCTACTAGATGGTGTTATGTATTTGGGTCCTTATGACAGATGTCATTTTTCAGTGTGTGAGTTAATACTTTAAAGGACTCCATTTGAGCACAAGTTTGATATTTTTCAAACCAAAAGGGGTTAGCTGCGTAAAACCAGCAAGTAAAAGTGAAAAACTGTCACCACACAGACATCTACCTAAAACTGAACAAGTGGGAAGCAATATTGCAGAATTCTTGAGACTGGAATGACATGCAGCATCTGTTAGAAGAAAAGTATTTGATGTCTTGAAAGTGAACTTGATTAGTGTTATGCCATTTGGTAATATATACAGTGTAAACTGTGCAATCCTGGATAAACCCAAAAATTGCTGTGTTTTTTTAAAAAAAAGAAAACATTCAATATCTTTATCCAAATGTAAAGTGTTTTCTTTTTCAAAATGACAAAGCAAGAAAAAGCTTTACAATAATTATGATAAAAAACATTTTGATCTTTTTTTAGTATCATTCATTATTATTATAATTTCATCGTATACTGTATTTGATCTGTTTAAAAGTGAACTGGCATTTTAAAGCAACAATGGTCTGTAAGCTTCCTCTTCCACTGAAGAGTTCTTGTTCAGGTCTACTGATGCTTTGTGTTACTGTGACTCTCTGGCACAGTAATACACAGCTGTGTCTTCAATCTGCACATTCTGTCCAGTTAAAGTAACTGTGTTGCTGGAAGAGTCTGTGGAAATACTGAACTTGTTTCTGAGTGAATCTTTGTAGTGTGTTGTCTGTCCAGCACGTGCTCCAATCCAATGAGAGTGAGTCGTGATGGGCCAGATGGATGGGCCCGTGGCTGGATTGGTAAAGGGCAGAGAGCTCCAGTCCGACTCAGACGCCAGCAAGGTGGAGGTGGAGTACTGGTTTGGGCTGGTATCATCAAAGATGAGCTTGTGGGGCCTTTTCGGGTTGAGGATGGAGTCAAGCTCAACTCCCAGTCCTACTGCCAGTTTCTGGAAGACACCTTCTTCAAGCAGTGGTACAGGAAGAAGTCTGCATCCTTCAAGAAAAACATGATTTTCATGCAGGACAATGCTCCATCACACGCGTCCAAGTACTCCACAGCGTGGCTGGCAAGAAAGGGTATAAAAGAAGAAAAACTAATGACATGGCCTCCTTGTTCACCTGATCTGAACCCCATTGAGAACCTGTGGTCCATCATCAAATGTGAGATTTACAAGGAGGGAAAACAGTACACCTCTCTGAACAGTGTCTGGGAGGCTGTGGTTGCTGCTGCACGCAATGTTGATGGTGAACAGATCAAAACACTGACAGAATCCATGGATGGCAGGCTTTTGAGTGTCCTTGCAAAGAAAGGTGGCTATATTGGTCGCTGATTTGTTTTTGTTTTGTTTTTGAATGTCAGAAATGTATATTTGTGAATGTGGAGATGTTATATTGGTTTCACTGGTAAAAATAAATAATTGAAATGGGTATATATTTGTTTTTTGTTAAGTTGCCTAATAAT